AGAAAAAATCAATGTTAAAAAATTTTAAAAAAAAAATACATCTATCAAATTCTTTTACATCTATTTAATTACTTTATTTTAAGTAAATATATATGTTTGTGAAAATCTATCAAGATATATGAAGAAACTATATGTAAATTAATTTTTAAAATTATATTAGATGATAGAAGTAGCATTAATATTGTATGTGAATACACCATAAAAAAAAATTGGATTAAAAAACATCCATAAGGTAATTATAAAGGTAAAATTGGTAAAGGCCTTTTCAACCTTTAGGTAAAATTTGTGATCTATACATGCAAGCAGGAGGTGTAAACTATGTGATATCATTTAATGTGATATATTTACATAAAGAATTAAATAGATGTATTCTTTTATTAGGAAGAGGATGGTTGAAGTAATTTAAACGAATAACCAATTAAAGAGCTTTTAAGTCTTACTTCACTTTTAGATCCTTGGACAATTGCACAACAACCATAGTGTTTTATCATATTAGACTTCAAGTCTTTATTCCATTGCAAAAAGGTCTTGTCTTAATTAATTGTAACAAATTGTGATTTAATAGAAACCTAGTAAATATGGCTTTTTTATGACTATTGTTTATTTAATTATAAATTATTATAAACTAAATTTTTTAAATTAGATAATCTAAACTATTAAGGCATTAGACTATGTTTATCTAAATTATTATTAAAACCATATTTCTATTTTAAATTTATTATTTAATAAAATATAAATTTTAATAAAATTTTAATCAAATAATTTTACTTTAAAATATTCAAATATCAAGATGTCAACTTTTTATTTTAAAGGTGTGTCATAATTATTTTTTTCTGTGTTCTTTTGGTCCATATTCTTACTAATTTGAGTATTAACTTTGAATCTATAAAAGAGCTATTAGTATTAAAATATAATACATTCTAAAATATAAGCTCATAAGCTATCTTTTTAAAAATATCTTATATATTATGTTTAATTTATTACAATCTATTATAAAATTTTAAATAAAATATTAAATTATTCTTTACTTAAATTATTAAGTCTTTTGATATTATTGAGATAAAATGTATTTATTTTTTTACTTAAGTTGTCACGTTAATATTAAAAAAATAAAAAACAAAATAAAATAGATAAAAATGATAAAATATAACTAATGAATCTATTAAATATTCATACACAACAAAAAAAAAATTGCAATCAATATAGAGAATTTTAATCTACTGTTTTTTAATCTTAATAGTTAAGAAAGCATTTTCATTTTCATTTTATTTTTTAATTAGGATTTCAAATAACTTACAAATAATAGAAAAATATGCTAATTTTATGAAGTAATGTACATAAAAGAGTTTGAAAAAGATAAGAGCAAATAATACAAGAAATATAGTTTTTATTTAAAAAATAAGTATAAGAATAAAAAGAATTTTTTTTTTTAATTTAATTTCTTTGAAGCATTTAGAACAAAATATAAGTTCCATATGACAAAAAATAATTGTTAAATAATTCTATAATAGCAATACACATAATTATGTTTATTTTTTGTTAAAAAATAAATATAAAGATATAGAGCTTGAAATTAATATTTTTAACTTTTAAGTGGATTATTTGTTCAATCATATAATTGTTGTTTAACTTTTAGAAAAAACCAAATGATAGTTATTATATTTAATATATAATATAGTTATATTGACTATTTAGAATATTTATAAAATTAAATATAATAGCAAAGATTATTATTATTTAAAAGTAATTTATTAGAATTGATAAAAGAAACTTTATTACTATCTTTATATAGAATCTTTACTATTATTTTTATATAGTACTATCTATATATAGGTAAATTGGATTTAAATACTCAAATTAATTAGGACAAAAAATACTAGAGAGGTATAATCTAAGTCTCACTTATCTCCTTATGTAATCCAAGATAGTCATCTATTAGGATAGCGTGCTTTTTGAACCTTGCTAGAGTCAAAAATAAGAAATATGAGTTCCTTAGTAGACATAATTTACCAAGATAGTTGATTGTAGAAGCTAATTATAGGAAGATTAGAACATAGTTAATATAACATATTTTTATAGGTAGTGAAATTAAGTAAAAAATTAAAAAAAAACAAAAAAAAACAAAAAAAAAACAAACAAACAAAACAACAACAACAACAACAACAACAACAACAACTCTAATAAGTACAATCTCTTTTTAGTGATGTAATAATATCAATCAAAAAACAAAAAAATAATTTGCCACTAAGAAGTAAGAAGATGATATTAAAAATGGCCATGATCTTTTTTTCCAACTTATATAATCTGAAAGAAGGAAATAAATTTAATAGAGTATAAGATATGGAACAAAGGCAAGTGTTTGAGTTTTTAATTCCTATATTTTATTCAACTTTTCATAATAAATGAGTTAGCTATGGATAATAATCTTAACAAAAGCTATTACAAAGACATAAACTCCAAATTGGACCAAGTTACTCTTTGACTTGATACTATGAGATGCGGCCAATATATGTAATACTTGCATTTTATTTTTTTCACCTTAACTCTATTCTTTGTACTAAGTTAAGGCATTTCTCACTTCTATAGAAAATAATGAATGAATATAGGAGGAGATGGTGTGACAACTTAAAAAAAATAATCCATATAATAAAAAAGACAATGACATCCAATTGAAAGATGAGAGAATTGTTAAGGTAATACCAATAAGAAGGGTATTAGTGTCTTCAAAACAAAAAATGGAAGAGACTACTTTGCTATCAAAATCAGAGAAATGGCCAAAGCAATCTCAAATAGACTTTTTAAGGTGGCTCCAACCAAGTTAATTGATGCTATCTATTTTACTTTAGATCAGCTTTGAATTAACTATTTTAGATTGCTTGAGATACTAAGCAAGGTGGCTACATGTCATAGGCACATTAATATGTTGTATATAAGAGATTCTAAATTCGACCAAAGATTATATATACTTAGATGTTGTCCATATCTAATAACAAATTATGAACTAATTTATAGTTAATAAGTATAAAATATATTTTGATTTATATATTCTATAATTGATTGTCTTTATATAATTTTATTATTAACATAAAATTATTCTAATCTAAAAAGCATTAAAAATTATTCTAATCTAAAAAGCATATTATTCAAATTTTTAAGCTTCTTCTTTATTTCAAAGAAGTTTTCTTATTGCAACTAAGATTTGAATAAATTTTATAAAAAAAAATTATCAAATAATTTTACATATTTTGTATAAATATGGCTTGTCTTGTTTTATATTTCTTACATACCGATTTCTCTTTGACATCAAAGAATCACCACTAAAATTTATATTGTATATAAGAGATTTTAAATTCTTTGTTAAATTTTTAAAATAATAAATAATAAAAATACATACCTTTCTAATCCATTTACAATTAGGATCTAAAATATGTCTTAGAGCAGCTTTTTAAATAAAAAAATGCATTAAGAATTGAAGATGAGGTCAGGTGCCAGCTGGATGATAAGATCCAACTCATCATCTCCTCTCCTCTTTCGATGAAAGGTTGGACTTGGCCAACAAGATTCCGTTCTTAATTTAGTGTTGATGTCAAAAGAAGTCAATACCAATTGTTTTAACGATATATTTGAATAACATTGAATAAGAAAGGATGAAAAAAAATGGCAGGTTTTCGCCAAATCAAACAGCTTTTTAGGATTGCAGCGAAACGGCAGAAGTGGGGAGTGGTGGTGGAGGTCCCCCATCTATTTTGTCAGACTGTAAAGTCAGTGAGGGAACATGGCCGATATAAATGCCCAAATCCACTTGTATACTTAACTACGTAGCTCCCTCCCTAAAGTCAAATAGAACCTGAGCTCGTCATCATGTTCATCTTTGAAACCAGCCATTCTTTCTTGTCTTTTATTCTTCTTTACTGACACAATCACAGGTTAAATGCAGACAAAGGGAGGCTTTACTGGACCATGGTATATGCTCACTTGGCAACAATGTTTGATGGGATCGAAGCTTCCCAACAAACGCAAATCAGGGGTCACGCTGTGGACGCTGGTTCGAGGGTCGGTCATCTGGATATGCTGGATCACGAGAAATGCTAAAGTTTTCAGTAATGAGGACTTGCCAAAAGAGAAGATTAAACTGATGGTATGGGAAGTGATCCTGGACCACGGTCGAACGGATTGGCTCCGTATAACGAAGCTGATCGTGCTGTATCCCAACCAACAAGGAAGTTCCTCACACAGTTCGATCGACATTGGCTGCCATTCGATTTCCTCGGATCTCGAGCTGAGCTTATGATGAATTGGAAACTAGCAAGTCCTAAGGCCGAAAGTTTTTCAGTACTTTTATTAAATTAGCAAACACACAAATTCCTTTCGCCAAGGGACTTGTCCTCTGGGTTCAATGTATGCCTATTCTGCTATAGAATAAACACCCATTTGGTTCAAAAAAAAAGGGGGGGGAGGCTTTGCAGACAAGAAACTTGACATCATCCCAATGCATTGCATCCGATTCTTCCTCACTTAGTGTTATTAATTTAATATTCCGTCGGCCTCACTCATTGTGATCCTAGCTTGGTACTGCAGTCGCTTTGTAGAGAAAGAAAGACTTCTTAATTTGTCCCATTCTATACAGCTTCGACAAAGCTCATCATCATCTAAGTCTGATTTTGTGTGGAGGGCGGAGGGCCAAGTGCATTCCACTACTTGACTTGATTGGGTTCTAAATTATATTTTTAGATACAATTGATGGAGATTTCAGGCTTCGTTCTGTGCCTTTCACATTCTAAACTCCATTTACAAGAACTTTTGTTCTCTACGGCACAAAAGTTCTTGTCGATGCTGGTTTCCTCATCCGTGCTACCCTAATAGTCTAGATTCAGTGAGCTATTGTCAGGAAGAAATGTAAAGAAAAGAAACGAACACAAATTTGTTTATAATCAACTTGAATATAAAAGAGAAGATTAAAGCCATGATAATGCTACGTGTACCCAGTTCTGGAGATGGTGTGTGAGAACACAGACAAGCCGTGCAGAAGTCTGTCGAATGAACCGACATCGGATGCGTTGTATTACAATTGAGTTATGACAGATGTGCTTATTCAAGCAGTGTCAGACTCTACTCGAGCGACTACAAATAGACAAACTTTCCTTACGAACTCCATCTCATAATGATCTATACACATACATTTACTCTGAGAATAAAAGAAAAGGGCTACAATCATCTCTGCATTGGAGCCTGCATAGGGATTCCCATGGGTTGCGCGCCGTATCCTTGCTGACTCAAGAGGCTCCATCCAAGGGCAGGATCGAGACCCCGGTTCTTGAGCTCACGAAACTCCTGGGCACACACAGAAGGCATGACCCAATATCAGCATGATTTCACTCAAACTGAATTCAAGTAAATCTTGCCTCAGGAACCAAGTCAGATCATTTCTGGTCATCGAGCAGTAGCTCTTGCGTACTATGGGAGTTTTTTTCCTTTCACATGGGCCTCTAGACACAGTGAAACTTTTCTAACGGAGAATGCTACGACTGCAATTGCATTCGCGTGTCTGCGAGGAATAAAGCTGCTGACATCAAGCCACACCAGAATATGACCAAACCACTATACTAAGCCACACGTTCGAGAGGATATTAAGAATGAACCGACCTATTCAATCTATTGACATCGAACTATTCTATAGTTTCTATCGACTTTAGAATGTGGTGAAAATGTGGTGCATACCTGAGCAACAGCGCAAGGCTCACACCAGCAGTGAATGCAGAAGTCGGTGAAGGCGTCGTCCTGGATGTTGTATTTAGCTCTCAATTTCCCACGCCAGAGACAGGATATGGCGCATGGGCACCCGGTGAACATCAACATACCAAGCCAGCCAGCCCCAGCAAGCAGGCACGAAGTTGCGCCCTGGTCAATCACCTCGGCGATCTGTCCGAATGTGATACACGTGCAACAAAACGCAATGCAGAAATTCGTGGGGTCATCACCACAGTCGCACAATCCAGTGGTCCATTGCCCCAACGGATGCTGCCCCTGCACTTGCTGTGCCCCGCCGTGTACGACTTGTGGTGGCATTTGGTGTTGTGGATACCCTGGTTTTGGTCTGGGGTGGTACTGCTGCGGTGGCATACCTGCGGGTTGCGGCGGATACGCCGTTCCTGGAGGCTCAGCTCTTGGAGCATAGTTCATTTGTGGGGTAACCGGTTTTTGATATTGTTGATTCGGGTAACCGCCCGACATCTGGTTCGGTGGCTGCATCAAGACAAAGAGAAATATTTTTCAGAACACTATCCATTCGACGGAGACAAAGTATTTCAGCTCAGGTTAAAACTCAACATGACGACGATGAATTCAGGAGAGCCGGAAGGTTTCAAGCTCTCCGTGAGGTGAACACCTTTCTGAAAGAATCCTTGAACAATCTGATTAAATTGAGAGCTGTTCGTGATGAGCGTACCTGATCGAGCAAGAGCTCCCGCTTCGTCTGATTCAGATGACCAAGAATTTTAGAGAAGGTGTGGTACTTTGTGCAGATGGCGAAGAACCCTAACACAATCTCTTCACAGTCAGTATGCAGCTACCATAAGGTGCTTGTCTCATAACTCACAGTTCGCAAAGAATAACTCTAAATGATCTTAAATGCTTCACAACTTCCAAGGCGTCATGACTGATCAAGAATTTCGGACAATGCAATTTTATACTTCAACTGACCAGAGCATACTTGAGCAACAACTCTGTTGAAGACTTTTTGGTGCAGACTTTGACCCCTAGCATCCCCGCAGCAGCGGCGTAACCCTTCCAGTCTACCAGTCTTCAAAGCGCGCTACTTTCGGCATCTGCTAAAAACACCCCAGTCGATATGACAAAAAGGACTCTATTTACAGTGATTACTACTATTTTAACTGAGCGATTGTAACCATGCTTGGCGCATTTTGTTCACTACTTGCTGAGCAGTGATCAAAACTCCTAAAAAACCAGACTCTTACGTGTTCCGGTAACACTGCACTACACCACACTGCAGTAACTTTGTACACTCTTGGACAGTAAAATATTTTAAAAATTACTTCAGATTGATTTCTGACGGTCGTTGGAAAAGTACCAGGAGCACTGAATACCAGGGACGTTCCCGATACAGGGGTAGCTCTTACCGATTTCAGATATTTCGTGATGCTACTTGCCAAAAATGGGTCCGCAATATGAGTTGACTTGTTCTTCAATACATTTGCTGCAGACTCTAAGTCAAAGTCGCGGAAGCTTCAGAAGATTGTTTTAATTTTCGGTAAAAAACAAAATAATAAAATAATGAAATAATAATAACTGGAAATTGAATGGTACAGAACAGCAAGATTTATATTGGTTAACATTGTGGCCGCTGCGATCAAGCCAGGTATCCAGCTAGCTCTCTGACGTTTTTGCTTCATCCGTCAGTCATCCTTGCATGTCTAGTAACTGTGTCAGATTTTGGATTTTAATGTATATGTATATAGATAGATTGAGGAGAATGTTGAATAGACCCATGCTTTTATTTAATAGACCCACCTTTGATGATGAATGTGGTTGACTTTTATTGGTTGCAGCTCCAACAGTGAGGACATGAATCTAGAGGTCATTATTCTTTTTCATGATAGTTAGGTCAAGTTAGTAAGAAAACAAAAGTATTGAATATTAATAACTAGATTATTTAACAACTATACAAGTTTTTATATGAAAATAGAATGTACCATGCCAAAAGAGTACATAGATGATTTATAGAAATAGCCATCATAGATGATTTATCAAATTGGCAAAGCATCTTCAAATATATTTCAGTATTTCTTTACAAAAAAAAATTGTATTTTATATTGAGCTTGATCCAAAGAACATCTTGAGTTTAACATTAAAAGCATTTGATATTGTTTGAAACAAAATTCTCAAGAGTAGAGAATTTAATAGCCAATAGACAAATAAGTTTTGATTTATGTTGGTTTAAAAATTAACATCCATCATAAAAGTGGAAGGAAAAAACTAATGCAAAAAATATTTTTATTCACATCTACAATGACCTCAATGCATTTTATGTTGCCATTGCAAGTTAGAAAAACTACAAATAATGTGAGATATCTTTAGAGATTTCAAAAAAAAATAACAAAAAAATAAAATAAAAGATGATTTAGTAATTTGAGTTTAAAAGATAAGATAAATCTAATTAATGTTTCCTTCTATTGGGTTAAGAGTTTATCTTGCAACTCTATCTAGCTATTATGTTTAAGTTCTAAAAATTCAGATTTGTGACAAGTTATATTTTGAGTTTTAATATGTTATGACTTGTACATAAAACATCCTCTAATTTAAAAAGCTTTCTTTTTATATAATAGTTTTCCATTTCCATACATGTCAATCTACATGCAAGCTCAAAAGTTTGAAAATCTATCAAATGTACATGTCCAAAATCTCTAGTTTTGAGGTCAAGATATAGACATATGCAGCTGTCATTATTTTTCTCCATGTTTTGTCAATTCTCATCATCATATGAAACCATATGACCCTCAATGCTTACTAAGCACAGTCTTTTTATCTTTAGGTCTAGAGCCCACAAGTTTTGTTGGCAAGACAAAAATCTCAACATATATTGAAGGCTGGAGTTACTGGAGGCCCATACCAAAAATTCCGCATTCAAAGAAGAGTTTCTACAACTACATTTGTTTTGACATCTCAATTATTGTTTTTGTTGCTCTCCTATTGTTTGAGGTAACTAATGATCAGTTTGTGGGGTGCCTCCTTCGCTAGGTCTGCTTCGAGGACAACTTCTAAAGGAAAGAGTTCTGTGACCCCTTTGAAGCAACGCTGCCTTCAGCAATCCAGCAAAGTTCGGAGTGTGGAATCAGAAAGGCCGTTTCAAAGTCTCCTGACGGAAAGATTTCTGTAGGGACAACGTGGCCATACACAGTCAGCAACTCCACCAAACAACACAGAAAAGGTCTAACGCTAGTTCTGCACCTGCTCAGAAAAGCTAATATTCAGGGTCCTTAGCAAACTGGTAGTCGGTACCACCTATTTCTAATATTAGTTCTTTAGCAAAACACAAAAGTCCTGGTCATGATAGAGGTTATTTCGGGTTGGTTCCACCTCCAGAAGTGCTCCTCACTGTTCCAATTCAGATTTTCTTCTTGATTTCTGTTTACCTTCTCATTACAATCCTAATTTAATTCTGTGAAGTTTTTTATTTTCGAAAAGAGAATAATTTATCATCAGTAATCATGTTGATTGTATTCTTGTTATTGACCATTTCAAACAAAACTGAGATTCCATCATTCAGATACATAGGATGTGGTGGAGACAGGGAAGGGTCGCGACAGCTCACCTGATGAAGAGTTCGTTCTTGTGCATCCGTTCCCCAACTGATGAGCAAAGCCACTCTTGCAACGGATTCGAGGTTATAGATATCGGAATTAACCCGAATTAGCACATGCGGAGTCCTCCTCCTTGGTCCTCTGCGTCCGAGTTCACTGCTAATAGCGACAACCCGCCTGCCAAAGGGATATTTAGTGGAACGCAACTAAATATATCCAGCATCATTCTCATCTTGACTCACCCAAATGATATCTTTCTGTAAAATACAGGGGGTGGGCAAAGCATGATAGAAAAGATTGAGAAGCTCTCAATGTTCTTTGACGTCTTCTTCTTCCTGGCATATCCAGCTGAGGTAGTCAGCTGGCGAGTGTGCTCCTCCTCACTGATAGTCCCAGCTCATACCTTGGAATCTAGCTTGTCGTGAACTTCCGGTGTATGTCATTTCCTTGGTCGCTTGGAGATTCTTAGCGACCACAGATCTGATGAATGTGCGGGTCAGATTATTGAACTGCTCCACATTTTGAGCATTCATTGTTGGTCAGTGTCTAGAAATATAGGGAGCAACCAGACATCACACTGCACCCTCACAGTCCCTTGAAATGTGACCAAGTGCAACTGCGTGGGCTGCACACGGAGATAGCATTATCGGAATAACAGCAACAAATCACTCCACTGTACCGTATTGGTATCTGCGCTGGTTAATTCTTTTTGTGAATATATCCACCGGATGGTTCAGAGATACTTTGTTCAACTAATGTAGCCAACCCATTTCCAATAACTTAAGCATTTCAGCATATATTCACTAAGTGTAAAATTGGAAAAATAATATTCCCAATTAGGGAAATATAAATCAGGAGGATTTTAAGTATTTTCACACAATTTGATCCAAAAAAAAAATTATGTAAATATTTTAGCTAAAGATTTTTTGACCCATTTCCAACATATACCAAACCTAATTCCAATTGACGGTGGGTTACCAAACTAAGAATCCAACTTTTACAAAATTAAGAAGTGTGGCACCTAATTATGCTATCAAACTTCATCTAATTTTGTGCTACCTATAGATGTAAATGTGCGGATGAAGCAACTATAATTCAATCATTTGATTGTAAGTAATCCACCATTTTTTTAGTGGGAGTTTTGCCACCATTCTTCTCTATTTTGCCTCATCTTTGAATCCTATTTCATTTATCATCTATTTTTTGACCTTGTTCCAATGGCTCTCTTAAGATCTCTCTCTTCTATGGAGTTTCATAGATAAGATAATAGAATGTATTACAAAGTTGTGAAATTTGAGTAGATAGGTAATTACTACAATTAGAATATGGATAGGAAAAAGATAATTTTGAAATAAGCTTCCAAATAGAAAATGAAGGCCACTCATGAGTTACAAATCATATGCTAGAAGATGTGGTGAAATACAAACTAGTCCATATGTTGGAAGTTGTGATTATGTAATCAGTTGTGAGTCATTTCTTGGATTGATGTATGACAATAGTGAAGATGGATGTTGTATCAATGATATGAATCTCAAAAAAAGAAATCTTGAGTATACTCTTTTGTTACTCAAAAAAACTAAAAAAATCACTCAAAGATGATAATATATTAAATTAGAATGGCTATTGTCAAAGATAAGAAGACTAAAAAGTCTTGAAACAAGAGTAATGATTATAAAGATATTGATAAGAGTGAAGAAGACTTAACTTCAATACGTATTGACTTTGCTAAATATATATTTTAACTTGCAAAGAAAGTTATCTATATGTATACTATATAGTTAGCTTGTTGTCACGGACATATATATTTACCTCAATAGTTACTTATATGATTAAGTAGAAGTAGGTAAATATAGAATAATTTCATAAAGTCTTCTAGATAAGTTTCTTAGAAGCTTCATAGATGCGGTTTTGACTTTAGATGTATTTATAAGTTAGGAACTTGGCAAAAAAGCTAACCATGTATTGGTAGCTTGTGGAACAAGACAACTAAGTGGCGCATATATAGATAACTTGCCTTGCAAGATAAGACATATAACAAGCAAAGTAAACACATTTTGGAAATCCTATAGGACATCCCCACATAGTTCTTAGTTGGATAGTATAAATGGAGGCAAAAGTGAAGCCTTCTTCACTCTTGTCAATGCCTTTCTAGTCTTAGTCTTGTCTCAAGACTTTCTAATTTTCTTGTTTTTTTGGCAATATCCATTCTGATTAATATTACATGATCTTTTGAATGATTTTCTAATTCTCTTCAGTGATAGAAGAATATATTGAGAATTTTCTTTCTTCAAGATTTATGTCTTTATCTATGACAGTTTGATAAGACTCCTAACATATTAGTTTTGTCTTATTTTAGAAGTGAGTGAATTACCCTACTTCTATTGTTG